TCTAAGTCAAAGCCAATTTCAATCAAAGTCAAAGTCAATTTTAATCCAATTCAAACAAATTTCAATCCAATTCAAAGCCAATTTCAATTAAAGTCAAAGCCAATTTCAATCCAATTCAAAGTCAATTTTAATCCAAGATGAAGTCAATTTCAATCCAAATTAATGCCAATTTTAATCCAAGTCAACAATTTCAATCCAATTCAAAGCCAATTTCAATCCAAGTCAAGATTAATTTCAATACAAGTCAAGGTCAATTTCAAAAAGTAAAATAAAATCAATTTCAATCAAGTAAAAATCAATTTCAATTTATTCAAATTAAGGTTAATTTTAATTAATAATTAAATAATTAAATAATTGAATAAATAAAAATAAAATTTAATTTAATATTATGTCTAGCTTATTTTCCATTTAGTTTATGATCCCGTTGAATTGCTAAAAAAGAAAATATTAAATATTAATATATTATGTTATTAGTAAATTTTTATTGTTTATAATTCAGAAATTAATGCAATCTTAACATTTTTGTAGAAAATCGTATTAGAAAATCTTTTATTAAATATACACATTAATATTAATAATATTTTTGTAATATATGTATACCTTTCTTTCTATTATTTCTTCTTTTCTTTTTTTTTTCTTTTTTTTATATCTTTTTTGCTTTTTATTCCTATTTTTTTGTCGTCTTTTTACTTTGTATTGAATAAAATTTTCTTCTTTCTCTTTCTTTCTTTGTCTTCTTTAATTTTGAAACTTTAAGCATAAAATATATATAAATATATAAACATATACAAAAAAGTAAATTTATTAATACATATAAATATAACTCGTAATATTAAAAGGCTATGGAGCCGTACGCGGATGTTGGACTTTTCGTTGGAATCGACGCACCAACATCCGCGTACGGCTCCATAGCCTTTATATTACGAGTTATATTTAATATTAGGACTCCTAATATAGGAGCCTTAAAAATTTGTATTATTAATATAAATTTAAATGTTTACTTAATTAAATAAATACCTTATTTTTTATCATTTTCTCTTCTTTTCTTCTTCTTTTCTTTCTTATATATTTATATTGTTTCTTTTTTTGTTTTTTAGCGTCTTATTCGCACTTTCAATTAAATAAATTATGTTTTTTTCAATTCTTTGTTTTCTTTAACTTTGAAATCTTAAGCAGAGGATATATAGCATATTTAAACATTGTATAAAAGAATAAAGTAATTACGAAAGAGATAAGGGACTGTAAATATTTGTATCTTATTATTTGTATTTTTTTATTTTGTATTTGTATTTGTATATTTTGGTGCGCAAAACATAAATTTATAAATTAAAATTGTCGCTCTCAATTGAAAAAAATTATTATAAATACTAAAGCTAATAGTTGTGTGGTTAGAATATTTGTCATCTTAATATAGGTTTAGACACACAATTCAATATACTAACTATCCTCTGCTTTAAAAATCTTACATTATTATATTCTTTGATAAAAATGCAGTTATGATTGTGTATATATGTTATGTGTGTGTGAATATATTGTAAGAGATATTAAATTAAATGGTTAAAAAAAAAAAATTTATGTTTTTTTTAAAGCAGAAGAAGATATACATTGAAATGTAATTAATAACTTTTTTATTAATTGAAAGCAGCAATTTTATCTTGTAGATTCGTGTTTTACGCACCAAAATACACAAAATTGTGAAATTTTAATCAAATCGATGAGAAAACCTCTCTCCTTCATAATTACCAAGAGTAACAGATATATGTTTTATTATTTTTATTATATATTGTTATTATATATATATACCTTTTGTTCCTTCTTCTCTTCTTTTCCTCTTTTTGATATATTTTTATATTCTTCTCTTTCTATCTTTGTTTTTTGATATCTTTTTCTATTTTGAAACTGCATAAAATACATAATACAAAAATATTAGGTTGTTCGGAAAGTTCGTTTCAAGTTTTATAAATTTGAGCGCGGTGAAACGGACTTGTGCAAAGTATCGGCGGGTTCTCTAATGATTACTCGAGGATTTTTGTGCACAAGATCTTTAAGAAGCGTTTCATCAATCTTATAAGATCGACCAGAGCAAGCTTGATTTTCTATATTAAAATCGCCAATTTCGACTCTTCGATATCAGTTGCGAATTATGTGAATGACACAGGCACTCTACACATATAAAGAGAACCTGAATGAGATGTTTTCTATATATGTATAGAATGTCTGCGTCATTCAGACAGTTCGCAACTTGTATCGAAGAGTCGAAGTTGGTGATTTTAATATAGAAGATCAAGCTTGCTCTGGTCGATCTCATGAGATTAATGAAACGCTTCTTAAAGATCTCGTGCACAAAAATCCTCGAGAAACCATTAGAGAACTCGCCAACACTTTGCACAAGCTGTTTTCACCGCGCTCAATTTATATAGAAAATTTGAAGTTAAAATTGTCGCTCTCAATTGGAAAAAAATATTATAAATACTAAAGCTAATAGTTGTGTAGTTAGAATATTTATTATATTAATATAGATTTAGACACACAATTCAACATACCAACTATTCTCTGCTTTAAAAAACTTACATTATTATTTTCTTTGATAAATATGCAGTTTTATTGTGTGATTATGTGTGTGTGTGTGTGTGTGAACTATATTGTAATATATTGAATTTAATGGTTAAAAAAAAATAATTTATGCTTTTTTTTAGAGTAGAGAATAATTGGTACACTGAAAAGTAATTAATAACTTTTTTATTAATTGAAAGCAGTAATTTTAACTTGTAGATTCGTGTTTTTACGCACTATTTATAAAATAATTAAAATGCACAAAATTGCGAAATTTCAATGAAATCGATAAGGAAGCCTCTCTTCTTCATAATTACCAAGAGTAAACATATATTTTAAATATTTTCGTTATATATATATATATACCTCTTATTCTTTATTGTTCCTTCTTCTCTTCTTTTTTTTCAATATATTTCTATATTTTTCTCTTTCTCTCTTTGTTTTTTAATATCTTCTTACTTTTTCTAATAAAATTTTATACTTATTTTTTTCTTTAATTATATTTTCTTTATAGACATAATATTGTGAAAACTTTTGTGAATATTATGATATATGTATGAAGTAAGTCATGAACAAGACACACGAGATGACCTTAGAACAAATAAATTTATAGAAAGGAAATAGTATATATTTTTCTAAAAAAAAATTATTCAAAAAATAATTGTACAAAAGAAAAAGTATAGTAATGCCTATTCATCTATATAATATGCGTTAACTTGGTAGATATGAATAATAGTTCAAAATTTCTTGGTTAAAATAGATAATTGTTTTCATATTTTCGAATAAAGTAGGTATAATTAATCTGAGATCATAAATATAGAAATATTCCTATGTCTATGTCTAAGATCGATTAATAATATATTTCACCAATCATAATCCTTTATTCTTCAGAGAAATGGTTGTGATTGGCCATATTTCAGATAGTTTTAAAACAAAGCGGATCCATTGTTTCAAATAAATGATTTATTTAAACTTATTCAACTAAATATTAGTTGAATTTAAATAATCTTTTTTTCAGTGTGTAATACAATGTATTTTATGAAATAAAATTAAATTTTATGAGAATGTTTTCGTAAACATATTGCATTATTGCATATATTCTTCTAGAGACTATACAGTATGCTGTATCAATTTTTTCCAAACTTTGACATTAACTAAAATATAATTATTTCAATAATGTTGAAAATAGATGTCACCACTCGTTACATAAATAATGATGTTTCAAATATGATGTTATATGTAATACAATGTACTTTATGAATAAAATTAAATTTTTATGTAGAATGTTTTTGTAAGCATATTGCATTATCACAATTGATAGGATTTTAATTAAATAATTAAGCAAATTTATCTATTTATAAAATAATTAAGAGAAAAAGATATATATCATTTTACTTCAGTACTCTCTAGCCAAAATTTATGATACATTAAACTAATTATTATGTCGAAATAGGCTATCTTTTTGCTTACTCCTGAGTAAATTAAACATAAAAAACAGAGATCGATAATATTAAAAAGAAAAGAATCCTTCGATTTGCAAAATTTAATTTTTTATTTTACATCTGCATAGAAAGTATGAATGATGATTAATAAACGACTAATCCTGTAGTTTGAAATCTGATTTAAATATAATTATTGTACTCGATATCTCGGCCATATTAAAATTAAATATGAATAATATCTACATTCTTGCAATATATAATAATACAACATATGATATACACAATAATTAAGTACAAAAATATCCTATAAATTGTCGTAATGCAATTTGCTTACGAAAACATTTTACATAAAATTTAATTTTATTTCATAAAATACATTATAATACATAACATCATTTTTGAAAAACCATTACTTATGTAACGAATGGTGACATTTATTTTTAACATCATTGAAATAATTATATTTTACTTAATGTCAAAGTTCGATAAAAAATTGATACTTGATACTATATATAGTTTCTAGAAGAGTATATAAAATAATACTTTCAAAATATTATAACGTTTAAATAACACGAAAGTGAAACTAATTATAACCAAACATTGTGAACGCGTTAAAAAAAAATTTTTTTAAATATTAGAATTATTTTCACATATTATTTAATAAAATGGAAAAGAATCATTATTTTCGAATCATTTTGCGTGGTGGTAATCCTAAATCTTCATTGGATGTTTTTTTTACAATTGGTCTTGTACCCAACAATAATTGTTGAAATGATAACTTTTCCTCTCCTATTTGCTTTATGTCTGTTGAATGATCAATCTCCAAATAAAATACGTCATCTAAATGATAAAATTATAATATTAATGACAGTTATATAGTAATTATATTTTTGGAAATTTTAAAACTTTTTCACATAGCTTACTCATAATTTTTACATATCCTTTCATTTCAATCATTTGCCCCTTGTCAAAGTAGACATCATTATCATAATTACTATTTGTATCTCCAATTTATACATCTTATCTGTAATGGATCCGCAGCCAATTGTTTTAAAACTATTTAGAAATTTATTAAAATTCGTTTTAATGTATCCACGTATAACTGAAAAAAATTTTATTAAATTTTAGTTTATCACAAGATTCATCTTTAGTTCATCAATATCATTTTTAGTTTATCACTGTATTATAACGAATTGACTTATAGAAAATATTTAAATCTCATAATTATAAATCAACAGTATAAAATAAGAAATTATGTAAAAAATATGTATATAAAGATTTATAAAAGCATATAGTTACATATTATACGTACGTTTGCATACAAATGTTTATCGATATATAAGAAATACCGGATTTTAGTATAAAGTATATTATATACATATAAAAACACTTACTAATGCATGCATTAAGATGTTGAGGTACATCACACAATTCCACTAATTGTGGTTGCACCGCTTGAATGTTTTTTTTAGGTCAAAATTACCCAACGTATTTATTGTCGTGTTGGATCGAATAATTAGTTCGTATTGAAGTGTCCCTTGGTTGAATTCAGGTATTTTTACCTTTTTAGCCTTAGCACCATCAATATGCACAATCTGCAAAATTAACAAATATTATTAAATTAAATATGTATATTAAATTAATATTATTCTAATACTACTGTTTTATATGTACTTTATTGGAATAAACTTTTTTTTTAAATATTACAACAAAATGATAATAAAAATAATAATTTTTTAATGTTATAAAAATAAATTATACAAAAATGTATCGCTTACTCGATTTGGTTGTATATAAAAATTTATACGATCAATTTCTTCGTTCCAGGCAACAACTTGAATGCGATGTTTACTGTTGTTGTTCACCAAAATTTTAATAATCTATAATGTTGGGATTTACCAACTATCTTCGGACCGTCAATTTCATCGATAAATCCAACAATTTCTCTAAATAAATTTTTTATTAAAATTAGTAATATAATAATATTTTTAATTTGTTTTAATTATCAAGCTAAATTTGTTTTAATTATCAAATTAAATATTATGTTCTTTTATTTGTTAATTACAACAAAAGATAATTATTTTTTATTTAAGAAAGAATTAATATATATATATAATGTGATCACACAACAATTGTTAATAAATAATCGAAAAGAAACTTTGAAGGTCATTGTGACATAAAAATTTTGATATTAAATATGTATATGTGTATCAAAACTATATTAATTTACAAATGAGATATTTTAATTAAATTATTCTAATAACATGCTTTAAAAAACAATACATTATTAACGAAAGCGTACTAAATATCATTTACTGATAATATTTTTCCAATGGTAGATTTGATAATTACATGTTATATAATTTCTGATAATGTAAATTTTAAAAACAATTCATTATATTGTAGTACATTTCGTTATTAAATTTTTCGTTTAAATTAATCTCATAAATATTTTATTAACTGATATGATAATACATTTAAGACATAGAGGTAAAAATTTGATAAATAATTATACAATTAAATAAAAAATTATATTATATTAAGTATAAATTAAAAATATAAAGACTCACACAGTAGAATCTTCGAATTGTATCGATTCCAACATTTCATCCCGATGCCAAATATATCGTCTCCAAAACATCATTTTGATTGAGAAAAGTAATTTCCTGTCTATTGACTTCCACATCATTACTTCGATTTGGAGTAAAAGTTTCCTTTTTGTTGCAGGTTTCCGAATGACTTTCTTCGTTTAATGTCTCCTGCTGTATGTTAAGTATTCTGTAAATGAGTAGCGTATATCAATATAATATCGTGATTAATAAAATATATTTTATAAAACTTTTATGTCGCAAGTTACAAGCTCTTCCATTTAAATTATGTAAAAGATTATTATATTGCGAACTTTTAAAAAGAATCGGTAAAATAGAATCTCTTTTATATAAGAAAGCAGTTATAAAAATAATGTAAATTATTACTAAAAGCTATCAATCGATTTTAACTAACAAAATTAGCTATTCTCTGTAACAATAATTTAAAAATTTATAAATAAAAAATGAAATATTAATAAAAATAAGTATATTAATAAATTTACTTGTTAAGCGAGGATTCCTTTAAATTAATTTGGGACGAATGTTTATTTCCATTATTTTTTTTTTATCCTTTTGATGTTGGTTAACTTTTTCCATTTTTTCTTTCTATCTCTTTTTCTTCCTCGTTCCTTTATTTAAAACTAAAACAAAACGTATACTATAATATATCGCATAAAGTGTAATTTTATGTTAAAAATAGAAATTAAATCGCAAGAGTTTTATAAGAGAGCAATATTAATATCGAACAAAATTTAAAAAAAAAATTTTTTTTTAAATTTAAAAATAATATATTTAAATATTTGTAAAGCTTGTAACTTGCGATATAAAAGTTTTATAAAATATATTTTTTAATCACGATATTATATTGAATATACGCTACTCATTTACAGAATACTTAACATACAGCAGGAGACATTAAACGAAGAAAGTCATTCGGAAACCTGCAACAAAAGAAAACTTTTACTCCAAATCGAAGTAATGATGTGGAAGTCAATAGACAGGAAATTACTTTTCTCAATCAAAATGATGTTTTGGAGACGATATATTTGGCATCGGATGAAATGTTGGAATCGATACAATTCGAAGATTCTACTGTGTGAGTCTTTATTTTTTAATTTATACTTAATATAATATAATTTTTTATTTAATTGTATAATTATTATGCAATTTTTACCTCTATGTCTTAAATGTATTATCATATCAGTTAATAAATTTTTAAGATTAATTTAAACGAAAATTTAATAACGAAATATACTACAATATAATGAATTGTTTTTAAAATTTACATTATCAGAAATTAATATACACATGTAATTATCAAATCTACCATTGGAAAAATATTATCAATAAATGATATTTAGTACGCTTTCGTTAATAATGTATTGTTTTTTAAAGCATGTTATTAGAATAATTTAATTAAAATATCTCATTTGTAAATTAATATAGTTTTGATACACATATACATATTTAATATCAAAATTTTTATGTCACAATAACCTTCAAAGTTTCTTTTCGACTATTTATTAACAATTGTTGTGATCACATTATGTATATATATTTAATTCTTTCTTAAATAAAAAATAATTATCTTTTGTTGTAATTAACAAATAAAAGAACATAATATTTAATATTTTAGCTTGATAATTAAAACAAATTAAAATATTATTATATTACTAATTTTAATAAAAAATTTATTTAGAGAAATTGTTGGATTTATCGATGAAATTGACGGTCCGAAGATAGTTGGTAAATCCCAACATTATAGATTGTTAAAATTTTTGGTGAACAACAACAGTAAACATCGCATTCAAGTTGTTGCCTGGAACGAAGAAATTGATCGTATAAATTTTTATATACAACCAAATCGAGTAAGCGATACATTTTTGTATAATTTATTTTTTATAACATTAAAATTATTATTTTATTATCATTTTGTTGTAATATTTAAAAAAAAAAGTTTATTCCAATAAAGTACATATAAAACAGTAGTATTAGAATAATATTAATTTAATATACATATTTAATTTAATAATATTGTTAATTTTGCAGATTGTGCATATTGATGGTGCTAAGGCTAAAAAGGTAAAAATACCTGAATTCAACCAAGGGACACTTCAATACGAACTAATTATTCGATCCAACACGACAATAAATACGTTGGGTAATTTTGACCTAAAAAAAACATTCAAGCGATGCAACCACAATTAGTGGAATTGTGTGATGTACCTCAATATCTTAATGCATGCATTAGTAAGTGTTTATATGTATATAATATACTTTATACTAAAATCCGGTATTTCTTATATATCGATAAACATTTGTATGCAAACGTACGTATAAATATGTAACTATATGCTTTTATAAATCTTTTATATACATATTTTTTACATAATTTCTTATTTTTATACTATTTGATTTTTATAATTATGAGATTTAAATATTTTCTATAAGTTAATTCGTTATAATACAGTGATAAACTAAAAATGATACTGATGAACTAAAGATGAATCTTGTGATAAACTAAAAATTAATAAAATTTTTTCAGTTATACGTGGATACATTAAAACGAATTTTAATAAATTTCTAAATAGTTTTAAAACAATTGGCTGCGGATCCATTACAGATAAGACGTATAAATTGGAGATACAAATAGTAAATTATGATAATGATGTCTACTTTGACAAGGGGCAAATGATTGAAATGAAAGGATATGTAAAAATTATGAGTAAGCTATGTGAAAAAGTTTTAAAATTTCCAAAAATATAATTACTATATAACTGTCATTAATATTATAATTTTATCATTTAGATGACATATTTTATTTGGAGATTGATCATTCAACAGACATAAAGCAAATAGGAGAGGAAAAGTTATCATTTCAACAATTATTGTTGGGTACAAGACCAATTGTAAAAAAAACATCCAATGAAGATTTAGGATTACCACCACGCAAAATGATTCGAAAATAATGATTCTTTTCCATTTTATTAAATAATATGTGAAAATAATTCTAATATTTAAAAAAATTTTTTTTTAACGCGTTCACAATGTTTGGTTATAATTAGTTTCACTTTCGTGTTATTTAAACGTTATAATATTTTGAAAGTATTATTTTATATACTCTTCTAGAAACTATATATAATATCAAGTATCAATTTTTTATCGAACTTTGACATTAAGTAAAATATAATTATTTCAATGATGTTAAAAATAAATGTCACCATTCGTTACATAAGTAATGGTTTTTCAAAAATGATGTTATGTATTATAATGTATTTTATGAAATAAAATTAAATTTTATGTAAAATGTTTTCGTAAGCAAATTGCATTACGACAATTTATAGGATATTTTTGTACTTAATTATTGTGTATATCATATGTTGTATTATTATATATTGCAAGAATGTAGATATTATTCATATTTAATTTTAATACGGCCGAGATATCGAGTACAATAATTATATTTAAATCAGAATTCAAACTACAGGATTAGTCGTTTATTAATCATCATTCATACTTTCTATGCAGATGTAAAATAAAAATAATTTTTCAAATCGAAGGCTTCTTTTTCTTTTTAATATTATCGATCTCTGTTTTTTATGTTTAATTTACTCAGGAGTAAGCAAAAAGATAGCCTATTTCGACATAATAATTAGTTTAATGTATCATAAATTTCGGCTACAGAGTACTGAAGTAAAATGATATTATATCTTTTTCTCTTAATTATTTTATAAATAGATAAATTTGCTTAATTATTTAATTAGAATCCTATAAATTGTGATAAAAAAAATAAAAAAAAAAATTAAGATTTATTTGTATTAAATATAATAAAAAGATCTGTATATATATTTATATATATACTTACTTTTTTTCATTCGTCGATCACTGCTTCATCTTATTTATGCCTTCTTTTTTATAAATATATTATTTTCTACTAAATCTTGCGTGACACGACACAAGCTCTTAAGAAATATTATATAACACATACCGAGATCACTACACATTTAACCTTTATTATCACGATACGAACTGTCATTATTATAATAACCGCGATCAAGTTCGCCCCGTACCTCGAATCGACCACCAATCACGTATACGCGGAAAAACGGCAACAAGACTTTCGACTCCAAACACGCACTTCACGGGTACACATGACTTTTTTTATAGTAGATTTTTTATTATGGATAGATATGGATGGATGGAAAGGATTCCACTATATATATTTTATCATAAAGGCTGCCCAACCAAAGTTGTTTTAATTTGTTGCTATGACATTGTTTGATCAATATTATTAGGATGAAAACCAGTTTTACTTTAGCTTGTGTTATGACAGTTACTTGGATTCTTATAGGTTTTATAAGAATAAAATAATCATAATATTAATTTTACGATTACATATAATTACAATATTAAGATATAATTCAATACAAAACAATAAATTATGGCAGATAAAAACGTGAAATATCGTAAGATGCATATATCTACTATAAAAAAAGTCATGTTTACCCGTGAAGTGAGCGTGTATCGCTTTTATTGTTGCCCTCTTTTCCGCGTATATGATTGACGGTCGATGCTTTCGTGAGAGAAAAGTGTGAATGCAATTGCTGAAAGTTCGGTAACAGTTCGATGACATCCCGTGAGACATCGTTAATGGGGTTAATGAATAGGACAAAAGTTAAGAAAGGTAATATATATATATATATATATATATATATATATATATATATATATGTATATATATGTAATATAATATACACATTTAAAATATGATATATATAATATACACATATATAATATTAAATAATATATGATATGTATAATATTAATAACACAGAGAAAAAAATAGAGAAGAAAAAGAGAGGAACCTAAAAATTATAGACATCGAAGAATTGGAAAAAAGGAGATTAAAAAGAGGAAATTAGAAAGAGAGGTGAAGCTTTATTATAGTATAAGAGGTGTAATTTTTCCAAATTTTAGGACGGTACTCAATGTACGAATCATTATATGTTCGGTATTGACATGTCATATTACAATATTGTTTATTATTCACCTGAGTACTATTTAAAGGACGTATTCCCATATTTTGAAGCCAACTGTTTCATATTTTTATAAATTTCAGTCATTTAAAGCGATAATTAAATTATAAAATATTAGGATACAATGTACAAATCATTATGTTAGATATTGACACGTCATATTTCAATATTTTTTTTATCAATCTGAGGACCAATTTCAATGACGTATTCCAATATTTTGAAACCCGATCTTTCATTTTTTAATTAGTTTCAGTCATTTAAATCTATAATTAATTTTTCAAAATTTTAGGACCCTTTATAAGAATCATTATGTTGGGTATTGACACGTCATATTTTAATATTTCTTATTATCGAACTGAGGCCTATTTAAAAAACGTATTCCCATATTTTGAGGCCCGTTCTTTCATTTATTAAATTAATTTTAGTCATATAAAGTGATGATTAATTTTTCCAAATTATAGAACCTAGTATATGAATCATTATTGATACAACATATTTAAATATTTTATATTCAATCTGAGGACCATTTAAAGGACGTATAACCATATTTTAAAGCCCGTTTTTTCATTTTTTTTTTTAATTAGTTTTATTCGTTTAAAATGATAATTTAAGATTAAAATAATAATTTAAAAAAATTGAAATGATAATTAAAATTAAATTATGTATTCCCAGAAAATTACTGCAAGTGACTTCTCTTTTTTTTAATTAATTAATATTAAATACTAGTATTAGGAAAAATAAATCTAATTTGTGGAAAAATAATATTATAATATTAGGAAACATAATACTGATCTTAGGAAAAACAAAACAAATGTTATGAAAAATAAAATTAATATCAGAAAAAATAATACTAACATTAGGAAAAATGTAATTTTGGCAAGTTCTAAAGTATTAAAAATTAATATAAAACTGAGAAATCCCTATAAGCACATGATATTATTTCATATTTAAGCAATATTCTAGGCGTATTTTTAGAATATTTAATATTCTAAGAATACGTCTAGAATATTAAATAATATCATGTGCTTATAGGAATGGCGCGCGCTACGCGCGCGCCTTTGTTTTTAATTTTAATTTTTCAAAAAATGTTTGTTGTTACTCTAACTTCCATAAATTTTAATATATTGAAATACATTTTTTTATTAATAGACTATTTATTATAAGATTGGTTTTGAATTTGGCAATAATCGATGAAAAGGTTCACTTTTTATAAAATTTCGAATATCTTGACAAAAGTCTGTAGTTGTTTTAACTTTTGTAAATTCTAAAATATTAACACAAATACTTTTATATAAATAGTCTATCGAGGAAAGCGCGCGCGTTAGTTCGGTAATAGTTCGATGACATCTCGTGACACATCGTGAAAGGGATTAATGAATAGGACAAATGTTAAGAAATGAGAGGTAATATATGTAATATATATGTAATATATATATATATATATATATTTTATATTATATGTTATTGAATATTATATATGTGCATTTTATATATATCATATGTTATGTGTATATTATATATAGTATAGTATATATATATATATATATATAATATACACATAAAATATGATATATATAAAATGCACATATAATATTCAATAACATATACTATATATAATATTAATAACAGAGAGAAAGAAATAGAGAAAAAGAGAGAGAGAGAGAGAGAGAGAGAGAGAAGAGGAAGAAAGGAAACCTACAAATTATAGATATCGAAGAATTAGAAAAAAAGGAAATTAAGAAAGAGGAAATGAGAAAGGAAGGTGAAGCTTTATATAATAGCTGTAATTTTTCCAAATTTTAGGACCCAATGAACGAATCATTATGTTAAATATTAACACGTTATTTTGCAATATATTTTATTATCAAACTGAGGACCATTTCAAAAACATATTCTCATATTTTGAAGCACGCGCTTTCATTTTTTAATTAATTTCAGTCATTTAAGGTGATAATTAGTTTTTATAAATTTTAAGACACAATGTACGAATCATCATGTTAGGTATTGACACGTCATATTTCAATATTTTTTTTATCAATTTGAGGACCATTTCAAAAACATATTCTCATATTTTGAAACCCTCTCTCTCATTTTTTAATTTGTTCATTTCAAGCGTTATTTAATTTAAGGATTCAATGCACATATTATTATGTTAGGTATTGACATTTAATTTTGCAGTATTTTTTATTATCAAACTGAGAACCATTTAAACGACCTATTCCCATATTTTGAAGCCAGCTTTTTCATTTTTTAATTAGTTTCGGTCATTTAAAGCAATAATTAATTTTCCCAAAAGGATCCAATGTACGAATCATTATATGTTTGGTATTGACATGTCATATTTCAATATTGTTTATTATTCAACTGAGTACTATTTAAAGGACGTATTCCCATATTTTGAAGCCAGTTCTGCCATTTTTTATAAGTTTCAGTCATTTAAAGGAATAATTAAATTATAAAATTTTAGGATACAATGTACGAATCATTATGTTAAGTATTGACACGTCATCTTTCAATATTTTTTTTAAATTATAAAATTTTAGGATACAATGTACGAATCATTATGTTAGGTATTGACACGTCATTTTTCAATATTTTTTTGTCAATCTGAGGACCACTTTGACGACATATTCCAATATTTTGAAACCCGATCTTTTATTTTTTAATTAGTTTCAGTCATTTAAATCTATAATTAATTTTTTCAAATTTTAGGACTCAATGTATAAATCAAAATGTTAAGTATCGACACGTTATATTTCTATATTTTATTATCAATCTGCGGACCATTTCAAGGACGTATTCCCATATTTTGAAACCCGCTCTTTCATTTATTAATTAGTTTCAGTCATTTAAAGCAATAATTAATTTTTTCCAACTTTTATGACTCAATATGTACGAATCAATATGTCAGGTATATTGACACGTCATTACTCAATGTTTTTTATTATCAAAGTGAGGACAATTTCAAGGACGTATTCCAATATTCTGAAGCCCGCTCTTTCATTTTTTAATTAATTTTAGTTATTTAAAGCGATGATTAATTTTTCCACATTATAGCACTGTATATGAATCATTATGTTAGGTATTGATACGACATATTTTTTATTTTATATTATGAATCTGAGGACTATTTAAAGGACGTATAACCATATTTTAAAGCCCGCTTTTTCATTTTTTAATTAGTTTTATTCATTTGAAACGATAATTAAGATTAAAATGTAAATTTAAAGTGTAAGACAGGCAATAAGAGCCAAATCGCGGATGACAGTGCGTTATCCCAACAAAACTAAAATTTTTTCGTTAGAATTAAATACCTGTGCACAAGGCACCAAATTTTACTTGGTCACGGCCAAGATTTAAAATTGGAATAATCTCTACAAGAGATTTAATTCCATACATTCTCTCTTCCCCCCCCCCCTAAGGAAATAAATGCGAGAGAAAAATATACATCCAAAAGTCGCTGAATCGAGAATCGAACCCGAGACCTTTCGCTTGCCGGGCAATTGCTCTTCCAACTGAGCTATTCAGATCCTTTCGATTCTATACTTTTTTTTGCTATATATATAATAGTGTTGGTAAAAAACGCCTTTAAGCCAGCGTATATAAATTAAGAGTTTAACAAGACTCTGTAATATAAATATAAATTTAAATTTAGAGGGGAAGAGGGGATGTATGGAATCAAATCTTTTGTAAAGATTACTCCAATTTTAAATCTTGGCCGTGACCAAGTAAAATTTGGTGCCTTGTGCACAGGTATTTAATTCTAACAAAAAAATTTTAGTTTCGTTGGGATAACGCACTGTTAAAATTGGAATAATCTCTACAAGAGATTTAATTCCATACATCCTCTCTTCCCCCCTAGGGAAATAAATGCGAGAGAAAAAATATAGATCCGAAAGTCGCTGAATCGGGAATCGAACCGCGATTTGGCTCTTATTGCCTGTTTTACACTTTAAATTTATATTTATATTACAGAGCCTTGTTAAACTCTTAATTTAAGATTAAAATAATAATTTTAAAAAATTGAAATGTAAATTAAAATTAAATTACGTATTCTCAGAGAAGTACTGCAGTGACTTCTCTTTTTTATAATTAATTTATATTAAATACTAATATTAGGAAAAATAATTATAACCTGTGGAAAAATAATACTGATCTTAGGAAAAACAAAACAAATGTTATGAAAAATAAAATTAATGTCAGAAAATATAATACTAATATATTAGGAAAAATGTATTTTTGGCAAGTTCTAAAGTATTAAAGTTCTAAAGTATTAAAAGTTAATATAAAATTGAGAATTGGCGCGCACGTAGCACGCGGTTTTGTTTTAAATTTTAACGCAATTTTAATTTTTCAAAAAATGTTTGTTGTTACTCTAACTTCCATAAATTTTAATATATTGAAATACATTTTTTATATGAATAGAATATTATAAGATTGGTTTTGAATTTGGCAATAATCGATAAAAAGGTTTATTTTTTTATAAAATTTTGAATATCTTGACAAAAGTCTGTAGTTGTTTTAACTTTTGTAAATTCTAAGATATTAACATAAATACTTTTATATAAATAGTCTATCGAGAAAAGCGCGCGCGTTAGCGCGCACTGCGTGCTAGTTCCATTTCTAAAAAAGGCATATTAAGTCGATT